GGCTGCTATGAGGTCTCCACGCAGCCTTCTCTTCTCCAGGCTGAACAGCCCCAACTTTCTCAGCCTATCTTCATATGGGAGGTGCTCCAGGAGTTCTGTAAGTCTGTCTTCAAAGGTCAGATGGTGTGTGCTGTAATAAAATGCAAATATTATACAGGGGTGGCTTATTTCTTTTTTTTTAGACCAAAAAGCGTGGTGCACAAGTGCTGTTGATAAACGAGTTTTGAGACAATCTGTAAAGTTAAAGTATGCTTGTTCTGAAATGAGTTGTAAATATTTGGGAGGGAGGAGAAACCGTTTCTGCTGCATTTTGGAAGGTGTAAAATATATCTTTATTCTCATCAACAGTCCTGGAAGATCTTATTGTTTGGTGCTATAAATTTAATATGTATTGGCTTCCTGCTAATGTGGTGCAGCTCTACAAACAGCATAGGTAGGTGGCTCTCTTGTACTGAAACTACAACTATCGTGTTCTTAGGTTATGAGGTTCTAACATACTATAAAAGCAAAGTTCAGCACATAATGCAGTTAGGTGGCTATAAAGCCAAGTTTGGAAAGTGCTTCTTTTTGATCTGCCAAAGTCAGTTTAGAGTCATTTCTCAAGAGTCATCTCTCAAGGCAAGTGTGGATGGTGAAGGTCATCCAAAGGTTGCAAGGGTTTCCAGACCTGCTGGTTACTTTCTTCCTGCAGTACCCATTTTAGCTTTAGGATTGCAAAAAAGTAGACGTTTTAAGTTTATCCTCAAACCTGTTCCTTATATAAATAGTGCCAGTGATATAGAGACCCTTACTTGCAGTTGAATCAAGATGTTTATAGTGTGACAAAATGCTTCTCTGATTCCAGGAGTGCCTCTTTTCATTATTTTGTACAGGGGCTCCAAGATGCTTTGCATCACCTCTACTAAAAATAGAATGCCTTACATTTTTTAGTTTGTGACACAAGTTTTCTTGCAGTTTCAAGATGGGTCAGAGAAGCAAACCAAGTAAAAGGTTCTGTTGAACCTACTTTTTGATGCAGTAATGCATATTAGGGGTCTCTTGCTTTGATAGATGATGTGTTGCTGGAAGATCTGAATTCTCTGTATTTAAATTCATAGCCACAGCTTAGCCACAAGCTTAATACCTTTTATGTCTGGGCATTATTACAGGCTTTATCGGAATTAGGATTGCTTTAATCAACTTATTAGGTTCAATATATCTGTGTTTACGACATTCATATTACATATGCATACAAAAGATAGGGACCTCTCTATCAACATCAACAGTTCATATATATGATAAATGTAAAAGAGCTACACAGGAGGGACTTAGAAGAATACAAGTGATGTCTGCACTGAAAAATTAAGTTTTAATATTTGCTTTTTTTACAGCTTTAACTGCTTACACATATTTGACAATCTTTGACCTTTTCAGGTGAGTTTTTTTCCGTTTAGTCTTAACTGTTCATTTGTGCCTGTCTTTGTATATTTCTAGACATATAAAATTTATTTACAGATACAAACACGTTATTTCATCATCAGGGTAGAAACACTAACTGCTTTAAATATAGCTTAAATGAGGTAAAATTGTACATCGCGATAAATACATGATGAGAAACACCACAGCTGTATTGAGAATGACTAGTAACAAATCGGTTCCATCATCTGTGCAGGTGTGTAACAGCATAAAACAGAATCTAGCATCAAACTATCATCTGGTTTGGTCACTTGGAATGTTTCCCTAATGCCACAGTTGTTGGTTCCCTCAGTTTTAGGATCAGGTAAACCAGGAGTATGTAATCCTGTTTGTTTCAAAATATTTGAAGAGCTATATCCCATGCAGTCTTCCAATAAGGTTGTTAGATATTTTAAGTATTTTCTTCCTGTTTTCTAATGAAATGGTGTTAAAACTACCTTAAGTATGAAAGTTCTGAGCACTTTTGTAATTACAGACATGAAATATATTCAGTTCTTATCTGAGATGCAGGTTGGCAGCAGTGATTGGGAAATAAACTGCATAAAATACATATAATTTTTAATTATTAATCTACGTTATCTTCATTGCTGGCTCACTACCTTGTAAAAAGTATGGCTCATCAGTCTGTTTTGTCCACTACATACTATAGCGTATCTGACAGTAAAACATTCATAAATAGCAGCAAACATGCAGAAAGGAAAATGAATGGTTGATATAGGCACAAAAACGCTTAACTTGATCTGTGGCTGCATTAGAATTGTGATATAACTTTAATGTATCTTTCATTTCTCTTAGAATTCTGTATCTGCTGAGTTTTGTCATCTTGGCTCAACAGCCTTTTTCATCTTGGGAAAGTTCTGATGTTGAATTTTGCATTTGTTTATCTAGTTCATGGTATATCTCTAAAAGAAGAGCTTAATGGAGAGCTTTCTTCACTTTTTACTGGGATACAAAGGAAGTGACACAAATGTGTCAGTCCTGCCATCTTGCTTATCACGGTCATTCTCATTTAAATGACCTTTCTCAGGTTGCAGTGTTTCTAGGCAAGTATCATGGCACAGTTAGCACCATGTAGCCAACTCACTCACTCCTCCTGCCTAGCCAGCTGGGATGGGGAGGAGAATCAGAGAATGGGTAAAACCTGTGGGTTGAGAGAATCGTTTAATAATGAAGTACAATATAGTAATAATAATAATAATAGTAATAATGAAAATAAAAAAGGAGATAACAGAGATAAAACAAAAAAAAAACCCAATGAACAGCAGTGATGCTCAGTACAATTGCTCATCACCTGCTGACAGATGCCCAGCCCATTCTCAAGCAGCTATCAGTGGTTCCTGGCCAACTCCCCCTACACAGATATACTGGGCATGACATGCTGTGGTATGGAATATTCCTTTGGCTAGTTTGGGTCAGGTGTCCTGTCTCTGCTCCCTCCTGGCTTACTGTGCCCTTTCTCAGTGACAGAGCATGAGAGACTGAAAAGTCCTTGATTGGGGTAAGTGCTGCTTAGGAACAACTAAAATACCGGTGTGCACAGCACTGCAGCAGCTACTAGGCAGAAGATTGACTCCATCGCAGCTGAAACCAGGACAGCAAGTTTATAAAGCACATGTAGAAGAGCATTTACATAGTGTCAGATTTGCTATTTTCATAGACTTTTGCTTTGTACCTTCCATTACTGTGTGTGACATTACTGTGTGTGATACCAGACAGTGTTAAAAGGATTTTCTCAAACCGCCCTTGCTGCCTGTTGGTCACATTCCGAGGTACCTGCTGTTATGTTCTCCAGGTCCCTTTCAGAAAAATTCATGGAGTAGATATAGTCTGAACACTAGTTGTGCTTATTTGTTTCGGGGCCTCTGTTAAAGTGCATTCCATTTGGAGTTACGGCTCATTTAGGCTGAGGGATGTTCTATATTGAAGAAGGTTGGCAGTAACCTTTGTAAGCATCCTCATGCAGTCTCAGTTTTATTTCCAAACACAACCTTTCTGGATTCACTGGAACAATACTGTCAGTGATGTAGGTGTTGAGTTTGTGGTAAGACGTGGTAATATTCATATGTTCAGACCTGATGGCTGAAGTGTATATTTGTAGATTATCCAGTTTGTAAAGGCTGCAGTTACTTATCATAGTGTAATTCTCCCACTTTTTTTCAGTTTGATAACATGTCTAATAAGCTACTGGGTAATGATGAAGAAACCCAGCCCCGTGTATTCGTTTGGGTAAGTACTAATAACAGGATCTAGTAGTTAATAAGACACCATGTGGTACATTGCTGACTTTCATTGCCTGTATCCACTAACAGCCATTTCTTGTGGCATGATTTGTGTGTGAAAGCCTGAAAATAAGGAGGACCAAGACTGATGCTTTATAGAACAGGGGAGGAGCAGGAAGGGGAGGGACAGCAAAAAGAATGAGGAAATACTGATTTTAAGCACATTTGTGATATGTGGAGTTTTGTGATATGTGGAGTTTTTGCTTAGAAGACATTGAAAATAATGCCTGTTCCATAAAACTTGCAGTTTGTTCCCACCAGTCTGCTCTTGAAAGAATCAGAAATAGTATGTCTATCTTGCTGGTTCCTTCCAAGGACCAGAATGCATTTGGTGCACTGTTCAGTATCCAGTGTTTCTAAACTTCCTTCTCAAATTTCAGGTTTGAAAGGTTTGAAGTTCTAGCAGTATTTGCATCTACAGTTCTGGCACAGCTTGGTGCTCTTTTTATACTGAAAGAAAGGTAGGGATATGTACCACTTTATTCAACTTCTTGTGATGTATGGAGATATTCAGGGTTGAGCAAAAGCATATTCATTCTATAAATGCAGTCTGTAGAGAGCTACTGTAGAAAAACCTTCAGATTTTAAAATGTAATGCTAAACCTTGCTGCTCACATTGATTACACTATACATAGGCTTTAGATGTGATGATAGGAATTGATGAATTTCCCTGTGCATCTTGATTTTTAAGTTCATTAATAAATAATTTTTTTAAATTCCAGTTACTTTGTAAAGAAGTTTCATAATTTATGAAGGATCTGAATGTTTAATGATTTCATCAGTCCCTCAAAATTTGCTCAAATATGAATTTGACATACCAGCTACACTTGGAAGCATTTGTGTTTCAGGTGCTTAGCCTAAAAAAGTATTTTAGTTTTAACAAAACCTCTTCTCTTTTAAACATCTGGTATTTAAAACTGGGGCAGTGTATCTTTAATTTTTCTGTTCAAAGGCTCTCTCCATGGAGGGCTGTATTAACAACTTAGCGATTCTACACTACAGGTTGATCTGTTGTACTGATCAACTTATGAAATCTGCTCTGCTTACTTAAGCAATTAACTTATTTATTTTCTTTGCCACACTGTATCTGTCAGGTTTTGTTTATGAATGGCAGTAACTCTTCAGAACTGAAAAAACATACTTCAGGTATCAAAAGAAAGATGTTTTATTGTACAAATATGACTCAGATTTTCAATTATTTTTGTAGCGCAGAGCGATTCCTGGAACAGCCTGAGATACACACGTAAGAAATTATTTTGGCATGTAAAATGATATTTTTTTCTGTGTCCCTTTGTGTTTCTAATACTTAATCTAGCATGTATTGATGATGCAAGTATATTCAACACCAGATTGGATTTTGGTACTTTGGCCTTTGTTTCAAACTAAGTGCAAGGTGTATTGCAATCAGTTTTTTCAAGGTACAGTTGAAATGCAGTGCACCTGCTCTCCTAAATAATGATTTAACTATATGTTGCTGGTTTTGCTAGTTTAGTCACAGTTCTTATGGAGGCATCTTAGAAGGCCTGGTATATAGGGGGGGGAGGATGCTGTGATGATTAGCGAACTGAAGTTGTTGCAGAGATGATGGAGACTATGGATAGCACAGAGAGTGTGTTCTTTTGTGTGAATACACATAAAAAAAAAAAAGGTGTTCTAGGACAGGAGACTGGGCCATGTGATGTATGGTGAAGTTGTAGTTCTCCTAGGAAAGGGTAGTGGCATAGGGCATAATTGCATAGAAATAGCCTTTTTTAGCTCTACTACTGAAGGGGCAATGCATTTATATCTTCAAAGGAAAAACGTGTATGTGTGTGCACGTGTGCAGTTAGTTAAGAACTGTTAATGCTCTGAACACTACATACAGCCTAATGTGATAACGCTAGCGCATGAAGTTGAGTGATTTCAAACAACCCTTGAAATGATAATGCACTGCCAGTTATTAAGCATTACATTACATTATCTTACTCTTGTTTTCAGCCTTGGTGAAAGATTATTACTAGTAATTACAGCTTGACTTCACGTTTTGCAATGATGTGAGATTAAGGTACCTTTTTTTTCCCCTCCCTAGGGGGCGACTGCTGGTTGGTACTTTCGTGGCTCTCTTTTTCAACTTATTTACAATGCTTTCCGTTAGGAATAAGCCTTTTGCTTATGTCTCTGAAGGTATGTGATAAATTAATCTACAACAAGAATTGGGAAAGGATGCTAATGTTCCTATTTTTATCAAGGTATAACTTGCCTAGCAGCTTTCTTAACCTGTGGGTATATATTACCATTACCTCCATAAATATAACTTCATGCAGTTTAGAGTTGCTGTTAGTCATTAGAGTAGCACGTAGTCATTAGTATGATAACCTTCGTAGCATTTTAATGCAGAAGTACCTTTTATTTTCAGTCTCTTGGATTTAGCTCGTGAAGATCATCTGTCAGATAGCAAACGTTGAAGACATTTTATGGATATATAAATGGATTAAAAATAAATTAATGTAATCGTTCCTCTTAATAGCTCTTTTACCTGGGGATTTTCCAGTGTGAAGCAGGCTTGAAGTCGTTCCCACTAACTGTAAATTGTTTACAGTTGTCTATTATAATTCATGTTATATAAAAGGTAATTTTGATGGTTATAATCTGCAATTATATTTGTATTTAATCAGCTCAGATGATAATGAGAGATAAACATTTTACTGCCTGGAAAAGTAGATTTAAGTGACAGTCAATCTGTTAAGATACATTTATTCATTCACATTGTATTGGTTTCTTCTCTTAAAATTGTAAGTGTCCTTTAAAATGTATGCTTTTACTCATAATAATTTCATTGCCTTTTTTCTTTTGCAGCTGCCAGCACAAGTTGGCTTCAGGAGCATGTTGCAGATCTTAGTAGAAGGTAAAGCTTAAAAATGTTTTTCCAAATTGTTAGTTTCTGGAAGGCGGTGTTGGGGATTTTGTGTATAGTAACAATTTGGATAGGTATTGAGGCATAAACTGTTGTATATTAGAGCTTTTAAAATAGCTTTACCTACTGTAGCTCTAGTGTAGGAACTCTAGAGCAGACATTGTCTCTCATACTTCCCGGATACATCAATCTAATCAAAATACATCTTTCTGCATAACTTTCACTCTGAATGCATTCAGTACATTGTATGTAATTCTCCTTGGCTGAGGTGAGGTAAACTAGCTTTGTCCTGCACAGACTTGGACTGTACCTCTCAACATTCATTACCTGAGTGATATATTTGTACTAACTTATGTTTGGTTATTCTGTGAGGTGGGCAACTGACTAGGATGGTTGTAGTTTAAATGTGATACATGAAACAGCTTACTCACTGAAACATAGCTATGGAAACTCCTCGCCTGTCCAGCAGGAAATCCGAATGTGTGTGTCTTCCAGGGGATGAAGCAGTGTGGCTCATTCATCTTGTCTATTAACTCTCTTGCTACTATTGAATATCTAAATGCGAGATAACATTGTTTGCAAATAATTTGATCAGATGTCAGAAACAGTTATTTTGAGCCATACGTGTTCTTCCAAGTATTTGTGCTGTCAGTATCAAAATGTTAAACCATATTGTATAACAAGTTAAGTGTGCTGCAAAGCCCATCTGTTCCGGCATGTTGTGATTTTTGTATACAGTTGAGGAAAACAGAGAACACTGGCTTGTTAAACAGAAGAATTAACTTTATATGGGTGTGAATTATTATATCCAGAAGAATTAACTTTATATGGGTGTGAAGTATTATATCATCAACCCCAAACTGTGTGAAACAGCTCTGGAAGACTAACAATAGGGTTGTCCATGTACCTGGAGTTCAATGTGAAAAAACAAATGGATAACAGTGACAGACTCTGGCAGAGTCTTTCTTTAACACTGTGTTTCAGGGAAAGACACAGGTAACTTGAAGGGCTCCCAGATCAAGAATCTAGAATGGCTTTTGGGTTGCGAGATAAAAATTGTTGACATAATTGTCTACAGGTTAAGAAAATGTAAATTTTGTTAGTACATTTACAGCTATTTCAGATGTGTTCTGTGAAGCAGTGTTGATTACAAGTTATCTGCACCTGTATATAATTATGATGATGAAAATTCTTACAGGAACAGACCAGCATGTGATGTCTAAACATAGTTTGGTTCTAAACAGAGCAACAAAATGTTTAATGCTGTTTTTCCTTTAAATTTTCCAGTACGTGACATGCACTTACATTCACTGAGAAGTACAGAAACCCTTTTCTCATGCTCTCACTGACAGGAGATAACTATAAATCAATATTAGTGTTCCCTTGTGAGGTTTTTTTTGTCTCTTACTGAAGTAGCTGGTCTTTTCCCTCTTTTCGGACTCCCATCGATTAGTTAGCTTTGGCTTTTGAACACAGAAGGTGGCAGATGAAGACTAATGATACGAAAACACACCCTCCCCTGCCCCAAGACTGATGTATATGTAATAGCAGTATCTCAACCTGTAAAGCACTTGTGTTTCATACAGCCAACACAGTTAGAGCTGTGTTACTAGAAAAAAGAAAGTAGGACAAGATATGTATTTTAACATGTAAAAAACCTGTGTAAAGATTAACATTTTGTAGATGGGAAAGTAGACTTGAAGCACATTTAAGATGCAAGACTTATTAGTTTCAGATATGAAAGAGAATATGAAATGGATCTAACCTTGATTAATATTTGCTGGCATCAGGCTATTACAAAACTGAGCAGAATTAGAAGGGCCTTCAGAGTTCTCATAGACACAATTTGCTATAACTGCAAAGTGTATTTGAAGTCAAATGCTGAAATAGTGGGTATGTAACTTTTGGGGTTTGAAGTAATGCTGAACGGCTAGCTGACAGCTGCTTTTTCTGTTTTGTTACAGTATTTGTGGAATCATCCCAGGATTAAGTAGCATCTTTCTGCCACGAATGAACCCTTTTGTCTTGATTGATATTGCTGGAGCTCTAGCTCTTTGCATTACATACATGCTCATTGAAATCAAGTACGTACAGTTGTTTAAAAAAATAAATTGCATTTTTTACATGGAAGGAATGATCTCATTAAAGCTGTATTTTGTATGAATGGCTTTGCAGCTCCATGAATATGTTTGTCTTTTTTCAAAGAGGTATAGTTCATATGAGATCAGTATGTGTAATGTTCTGTAAGGGTATATAATTGAAAAGAATGAAAAAGAATCGAAAGAAAATTCTTACACTTTTAAAGAATGTAAATAGCTCTTTTCCTTTAACATTGTTCTTTCTTTCTAGCAACTATTTTGCTGTAGACACAGCCTCTGCTATAGCAATTGCTTTGATGACATTTGGTACCATGTATCCCATGAGCGTCTACAGTGGGAAAGTACTACTCCAGGTAAGGCAGTGTCATGAAACAAGGGATTTTGTGGTTTCGGTGTTGTTAAATGTCTTGTTTAAAAAAGCAAAACAAAAAAAAACCCAACCAAACATGAAGTATATTTAAGCATTTGAATGGGAAGAGTTCCCAGGGGAATTTGTGACATGCTGGAAGAATTCTTTTCAAGGGCAGTAGAAGTATGCATCATGAATCTGTTTAATGCCCTTGGTCTCCTGTGTGGGTAGATCAGACTTAAAGGCTTTCTTACTTAAACAAAGCCAGTTAATCTTTATTGTAACTGTTTTTTCCTCCTTTTTTTCCCTTCTTTTTCTTAAAGACAACCCCACCCCATGTGATTGGCCAGTTGGATAAACTTCTTAGAGAGGTAAGTCAGTGTATAATACCTAACACAGTGCACACAGCTAACCTTAAATAAGCGTTTAGGAATATGAAGGGGTTTTGTGAGAAGATTGCAAAATAATTACTTTTTGTTAATGTTTTAGCTGCATGTAGCAAATACAGATCTTGCTGTCTAAGATGAATAGTGTCATTCAGGTATCTGTAACAAATCTGTTCTTTTTATAAACTAAACTTGAGCTACCGTTGAGCAGTTTGCAGGTGTGAGTGCAAGGAGGAAAAGGAGTAGAGGCAGCTGTTGACTTATACCATGTCAGGTTGAGAAAATACTGCAATTTAGCAGCAAGAGTTACTTGAAATGAGTTAACTTAAACCACTTTTTGAATGGATTTGGATGTTCAAGGATAGCAAAAATACAGTAGATAAGCATTAGTGGCATCATTAACAGACATCATCTTTTCTGTGTATGGAAGCTTCTGTTTTGCTGCTGAAAATGCTGAATACAGCATTCAGAGATGTGTAAAGGTACATTTCCAAAAGGACTTGAAACGTTCTAATTTATTTTCATGTTTCTGGATGTTCACATAAAATCAGGTTTCAACTTTGGATGGTGTTTTGGAAGTTCGAAATGAGCATTTCTGGACATTGGGTTTTGGCACATTGGTAAGTTATGTCTTTATTGTCATTAGCCTTTAAAAAAAAAGTTGAGAGTTATTAAATTTTTATTTAAATGAAGTATTTCTTCTGAAATCTTAAAAAAAATGGAGTTAGTACTCAGTCCCTGTGATATATTGCAAAACTTCTCTTCCCTTGTCCTTTCTGTTTTTTTAAAGCTTTGTTATTGTTTAATATTATTTATGTATATTGCAGCTCTGGATTAAAGCATGCATTTTGCAACTATAGGATTTCTTTTGTATTTTGGCAGTGAAGAAAACCTCAAACAATAGTAACTTTTCAAATGGTATGTTAGTGTAAGTTGTCTCAGAGGGGAGAAGAGGAAAACTGTAAACCTTCAGGTACCAGAGCGCTACAGTAGAATCATGTTTTCAGCATTCTGGGGGGAAGGGGATGAAAAGAGCACCTACAGTTGTATGCTGATATTCTGCAAGCTGAAAGAAATTAGAGTTTGGGGTTTTTTTGTGGTCCAGAATGATCACACAGATCTTGGTTATTCCTAAGGTGATGCAGGTATGTTGTTACAGGCAGAAAATTAAGACTTGTAGGATTTTTCTCTACTTCTGAATTCTTCAGTATGCTACCCTTCTTAGGAAAAGGTAGCAGGTCTGACTGGCTGATGTGAGAATAACTTTGTTTACTGTTCTGCCAACCAAAATACTGGATCACAGTAGTGCTGGATTGATCAGATGATTATAAAACCTTTGTATGCTTATTTACTTATTGGCATCTTCAAGCTTGCAGTAGAAACTTCCTGAGACCTGGGTATGTTTTCAGCTGCACTGTCTGAAGTAAAAATGGCTTACATAGCACAAGCCCTGAACCATGTTCTTTATTCAATAGGAACTGAAAAAGCACGTGAGAGGTTTCGGTTTGCATCCTGTTCTCTTCTGCAGCAGTAGTACAGGGTGAATGGGGTAGTATTAACTGGGAAGAAGGCAGGGGCAGCCTACAGTCCAAGAGAAACTCTTAGTCTGAGTTCCACAGCAGGCATTGCCTGTATTCTTGCTTATGGTCCTGATCTGAGCTGTGAGTGTTGTCCTCTTGCCCGCTCCAACAGCACAGGGATGACACTCTTTCCTAAATTTGGCATACAGAGTTTGTCTGCACTTTGTTTTCTCTTGGGATACGTGTTTTTCCGAGCTGTTGCCTTTCTTTTCCTGACATCACATGTTGTATTTTATAATTCGCTTTTAAGACTCACTTTTCCTGAATGGTGATCTTGATACGTTCATAAAAGATCAACACGTTAGGAAGGGTCAAAATGTATTCTGATTATGGAATTAGCAAATATGTTTCACAACTTAGTAGTGTCTCCACTGTGAAAGGTTTTTGTGTGACTCTCTGCAGGATAACTTATCTTGAATTTATGTGAAGAATCTTTACTGAAATAACAGTTAACAGCCAACTTATTTTTATCACTTTCTAGGCTGGATCAGTACATGTCCGAATTCGGAGAGATGCAAATGAACAAATGGTACTTGCCCATGTCACTAACAGATTGTACGCATTGGTCTCTACCTTGACTGTTCAGATTTTCAAAGATGACTGGATCAGACCTACCTTATCATCTGTGCCTATTGCAAACAATATTCTGAACATTTCGGATCATCATATTATTCCAATGCCATCTTTGAAAGCTGCTGATAATTTGAACCCTGTTACGTCCACTCCAGCTAAGCCTGGCAGCCCACCGCCAGAATTTGCTTTTAATACACCAGGCAAAAATGTGAATCCAGTCATTCTTTTGAACACGCAGACAAAGCCCTATGGATTGGGCTTGAATCATGGATCCACACCCTACAGCAGTGTACTCAACCAAGGACTTGGAATACCGGGAATGGGAGCAACTCAAGGATTCAGAACTGGTTTTACAAATGTCCCAAGCAGATATGGAACCAACGCTCGTGGTCAACCCCGACCATAATAAACACCATTATTTATTATACTTAAGGGTATTGACTTAATTCTTTTATTACCCAATTTTTACAAACATTTGGAATGTCAGATCATTCTGAATGGCTGGGAACAAGTGCATTGTTCATATTCATGAAATGGTTAAACTGCCGTTTTTTCTTTGCGTCAGCAGTAGCCTGTGTAATGTCACAAATATTTTCCAGACTTAGGATACTTTAGAGGTAGCTTTTATAGGGTGTCAATTTCTGTTTAGCTTTTTATTCACTTCTCTTTATATTCTCAAGAATGGATTGAGATACAGCACAACTCCATAGAGAGTACAATTGCGACCAGGCAGCTTTTGTTTTTCAAATGAGAATTGCTTAATAGAAACTATTAATGCAATTCAGTATTGAATTCACTGAACGCTGAAAAGCTGAGAGAATAGGAAATTGCAGAAGTACAAATCCCAGTTCTTTGATGTTTTGATTGCTGTATTAAGCCATCTTTTGGCAAAGTCACAGTTAGTTTTGGTTGCAAAACTCCATCAATATTCATATTGTGGCCATTGTGAAGACAATCTGGTATTTCAGATTCTAGTTAGTTTTGTGGGGCTGTGTTTTTACATTTTTATTGTTGCTTTTATAGAAATTCAGATGGTTCAGCAACCATTTTCTAGTTGTAAGTATTCCATATTCATCTCTGATATCTTTTCCTTTTTGGTTTAACTGCAAAATTATTTAGCAATATCCTGGGAAATAAAATATGTCAAACTTAGATTTTACAAGCACTTCTTTTTTACAGTTAACCCTATTTCAGATACAGAGCAAATGGCTGTATTGTTTCTGAAGCCAGTATTTCATTTCTGACTAAGGAAAGTATTCTCTGATTTGATTGGGACTTTGTATTTTCCCTCTTTGTATTTTTTCTGTAGTTTCAGGGGGAAAGATATCTATTTCTATTTCTGGTTTATATCCAGAGTACTGATCAGTGATTGCTGACAGTTCTGAGTGATTGATAGAGTGCTAAACCTTCGGGGCACAGTTGGAAAAAGACTGCCAAACTTTTCTCTGCTTTCGCATTATTGTTTTGCTGTACATCTAGAAGGCCATATTTCTTCAGGGCCTTTCTCTCTCTTCCTTCTGACTGCTGTATTTTTCTTCTGATAACAGGGAAAGGCCTTTTAGAAATACTTCAGGCTTTTTTCCTGTTCTCCTGTGCAGTAAGTACCTTATAATTCCCTAGCCAATTCCTCCTCTGCACTTTCTTCAGCATCTCTTGGCTGTTGAGGAGTGGGTTACCCATTCCTGTTGTTTCATCTGCAACTCAGGGTGCTATATATTGGCTTCCACCTCGTTAATCTGTATAGTAAGTCAGTCTCTCCACTTGTCTGAGAGCTGTAGTATCTCAGGGACTCCAAAGAAATTATGTTACCTGAAGATAATGGGTTTGATGCAGAAATCTTTCTTTCATAGAACTGAGTTGAGAAAACAGCCTTCATTTGAATTTTAAAGATCCGTGGCCTCTTCACACTGGCTGAAGGTTTTATTTTTCTGCATAAGGACGTTGTTTTCCTCTTTTCTTCCTTTTTTCTTTCCCCCCCCCCCCCCTCCACTACCTGTGTTTCTTGCTCCAGTGCACAGAGGAGGGCGTCACTTCCGCAAGCAAAGCAAGGTGACATTCTGCATGATGGTATCTTGCTGGGATGTTTGAGGCTGAGGGTAGTGTCCAGGCTGCCACTGGTATACAGTCCATGTAAGCTATGAGTAGGGGATCTAGTTCTGTACTTCATTTGCAGCAGGAGTAAGAGTTTCATTACTGTGTTAGAAAATGTAATGACCTGGAAAGCTTGCATTTAAAGATTACAGTGAACTTACAACAGTTGGCCCTGTTTCTATAAGGTCAGTATTAGCTCAGTAATCATCTTTGTTTCATTGCTCTGTCTTTATGTGTGTGTAGCCTATTCCACATGCCATTGCTGCATGGAAAGTCACTGAAGTACAGAACACTTGAACAGATTCTCTGTACCTCTTGGGTGCTGAACTAGACTGCATTCTACAGCATCTGCGACACCTTAGAGCCAGCAGAATGTTTACAATATACTACTCTCGTGTGGCCTATCTGAGAATTGTTCCTTACTCCAGTTTCATAACCAAACACCCTTTTTCTGACATTTTAAGTACATTGTATTATACTGGTTGCATGCCTACTCGTTTTTAGTAGAAAATTAAAGCTCCATTTTATGAAAAAATGAAGCTGATCTGTGACTTAAGATGAGAAGGGAGAATAAGAATTCCAGAATTCTGAGTGCAATATAATCATTTTAACAAAACTATTTTTTGGAGTGATTGTTTACAATATATATCATATGTGCAGATGATAAAGATTCTTTTAGAGATTAGAACAGCTTTTTAGCTGCTTTATTGTTATGAATATATTAAGAATATTTGTTAAGTCAACACAGAGTAAAAATGTCTCCTTTTATACGAGGAAAATAAAATCAGTGTCATCTTTAACAAGGAAAAAGTGGTAATTTTTGTACAAGGTTTTACAGTTATATTTTTATATATGATTGTTTAAGCGATGCTCTCGGGTGATACTTCAATCTCAATGAGCAGATGTGTGAAACTTCAGAACTTTTTCTGGGTCTGCTGCCAAGGTAGACTTGGGTCCTTGTAATAATGCTACAGAAAGCATTTTTACTGCATTTTGTCTTCTCTAATTGTATTTTGCTGTTAGGTGGTCACAAACTAAACGTTTATCTGAAATGTGGTGAATAAGAATTGCTAATTTATATTATCGTCATTCCTAGTGATAGGAATGCTACCCCAGCTAGAGCGTAAAAGAGGATTTGCTGTCATTTCTGTCCACCAGAGAATTTGGCATTGTTACTTCTTTAACTTACTCCAGCTGTGATTCCACAGGATCACTACACTTGTAGGTAAACACATCAAGCGTTAGAGAACTTGAGGGGCATGTACCATTCATTACCTGGCATAAGATTCTTGTCAAAAACCATACTGCCCTGATACAGAAGGAGCTAGACCACCTACTACAATACAAGTAACTAATGTATGGGGAGTTCTGCAGCTGTACCTATTCAGTAATGGCTCCTGAGTTCGTTCTGTTCTGTGTTGCCTTCACCCAGGTAAAATCCCCAGTCAGCTTTGGGAGGACTGTTGACAAGTGACAGCCTCTCATGATGGTAGACAGATGCTTTTTATTCATTTCCCCTCTTTCTCACCCTGCCTCAACTGAGATGTGACAAGTGCTATTCAAGGAAAGAATCTGTACAGCAATCCTGCTGATCTGCGTAATGGTTGGATTGAAGTCCCTCAGCTGATTTCCATCCCCTGCTGCCACCTTCCCACATGGGTAGAGAAACTATCCAGGGATAGGTGCTTCAACATAAAGCCTGTCTCTGAATTTTGAAGTGACTCCCTGCACTGTGTATGTTCAGATGCTACAGATCTGAAATATACTTGGTGATAATTCAGTGTTGAAACTGAGAGTGGAAAAGATACCAGCCCTGGTGTCCCTTTTTTTTGTGTTCTGGGTATTTTATCAAATGCATAGACGTTCTCCTGCCTGCTTGTTCTCCCCTGCCCTAGTAGCAGTGAGAACCCACCTTGCACCATGTCTTTCCTTTACTGACTACTTCAGGTTCTTGTGCTTTTGGGAGCTTAGATTCCTGGATTCACATGGTTATTGGGCTGATGCAAGCTTTCCTCCCAGCAGTTACTTTTTAAACAAATGATGGATCATATAAATTGCTAAGATGATGACCCTCCCTTCAGGGGCACCCTTTCCAGGGCTCATATCTGGTTAAGATACAGCCTTCTTTTCCTGTACAAAATAAACCCCTTCAAAACCTGAGGAGGGAGGGAAGCCTCTTTGCCTCTTCATGTTTTGAGAACCATTGTGTGTTACACCAACCTGTGTCATTTCTTAGTGAACTGAGTAAACTAAACTCGAGAGAACTGCATGCTGAAGCAGTGAGGTGTTGGTGACAAAACTGGCATGCTGGAAACTTGGTGTACTACATGATTGACTTAGGGTTTCAACTGACTCTAATAGAGACTTTTTTAATGAGACTTTTCCCAGTTATAACAACCCTCTGATCCCACACGTCTTAATGAAGCTTGTTGTAAGGTGACTTTCAAGTTCTTGAAGAAGCAGACTAGCAGTGCACACTGTAATGCATGCTGCATTTTTCAAAGGCCCTGAAAAGTGTGAAGTAAAACAAGAGTTCACCTGTAGCAGTGAAATTAGCCACGTACACTCATTATTAGTGTTTCTGTATATAGCCGTTTTGTTACCTTTTCTTACCAGTTAGGTGGGTGCAGTAGGCACCTTATACTGCTCAGAGTATAAGTATTCCAACTTCAGATTTCATTTAGTTGTTTACAGTGTTTTCTCATGGGCTGAAGTGGAGGAGAATGTGGTAGCAAAGAGTTCAAATAGCTTTGATGTATTTACACAGAGGTACAGCAATACCTGAAAATAAACACATCTCTCCAGTTTTTAGAATTTTCATTGTATTCTATTTCAGAAATGGTGCAGAATAGAAACACTTCTCATGATGTTGAACTGATGAGAAAACATGGAATGCTTCACTTTCACCTCGAGTAACAGAACCAGACTGAGTTTCATTTTCAGGCTGTCCTGTAAGAGTAGAATTTTACAGCTTTGCATTGCTGTAATACATATTTTGATTGCAGCTTTAAAATAGGTATTATCTTAGGTTCAGATATAGCTGCTTTAGGAAAATGGTAATACAGAGGCCAAATCTAACAAGCCTACAACTCTGTAACTTCTTTCTAAATTTCTCTGCCTGGGACAGAACTTTCTAATGGAGAAGTTGAGAGCAGTCAAATATTTACTTGTTTTACCTCAGTTTGTTCTCTACCAGCTTGATATTTTAACTTTCTTTTTCAGCTGCTCTCACCCTTTCCTCACCAGTGGAAACCATAATTCTGTAGGAGCTTTGGAATACTGCTCTTCTCCTATTGTTTCGTCTTCCAGGATAGGTTTTTGGCAGAGTGTTGTACT